ATTTGATAATGAATGATTGAACAAATTCCAACTTCTCACCACTTTCTCATCTTGTTACCTAGACAAAGCCAGCAATCGAACACCAAATTCTAAGCACGTGAATCTCTTCAGTAATTGTAATCCTACAAATTTGCTGCTGCAAGGCTAATAAACATGGAAACTTGGTTTCTCTTTCTGCTTAAAAAGAAAAGGCCAGAGCACACCTCTGTCTGTCAGCTCAAAGAGGTTCCTCGTCAGTGCCAGGCACCACTGGTTGGCAGAAACCAGTTTTTGCTTCGAATTCTCCCTTTGCCTGAACTTGCTCAGTGACCCTGGGCAAGTCACTTGATAACTCTGGGCCTCACTGTTGTCATCTGCAGGTGGAAGCTCAACTAAACAGTTTCTGTGGTACCTTCCAGCTTTATACTTCTGTGATGTGTCCTCTAGGAATCCAGCCAGCATTCTTTCCTTGGGCTGGGTTTTATGAGATGTCTGTTTTAATTTTTGATTTGCATTTCGTAGTCTTCCTTATCATTAATTTATCACAGGGCCCCAGACTTTGGTTAGCTGATCACAATGTGATGCTCAGTGGGACTTTTTTTGATGGTAAAATACACACAACATAAAATTTACCATTTTAGCCATTTTTAAATGTACAGTTCGGAGGCATTAAGCACATTTACAGTGTTACACAACCATCACCACCATCCATCTCCAGAACACTTTCCATCTTCCCAAACTGAAACTCTGTACCTGTTAAACAACAACGCCCCACCCCTCCTTCCCCCAGGCCCTGGCAACCCCCATCCTACTTTCTGTCTCTATGAATTTGACTACCGTAAGTGAAATCTAACAGTATTTGTCCTTTTGTGACTGGCTTATTTCACTTAGCACAATGTCCTCAAGGTTCATCCATGCTGTAGCATATGTCAGAATTTCCTTCCTTTTTAAGGCTGAGCAATATTCCATTGAATGTATACACTACATTTTGTTTATCCATCCATCCATCCATCAATGGACACTTGGGTTGTTTCCACCTTTTGGCTATCGTGAATAAGGCTGTGATGAACATGGGTGTACAGATACCTGTTTGAGACCTTCCTTTCACTTCTTTTGGGTATACACCCAGAAATGGAATTGCTGGATCACATGATAATTTATGTTTAATATTTCAAGGAATCATCACACTGATTTGTTCAATAGGACTCTTAAATGCAGAGACAGAACTGCTTAAGAAGTGGGGCATTGTGGTCTTATTGCCATGCTGACTCCTGAGAAGTGTGTCCAGGGCGTAGATTTGCCTAGAAGGGCTGTCTTGCTTCATTCTCTAGAAGAGTAGGACCCACCTATCGTTCACAACGAGTTCTGCACTAGACACTGGACCTGGGGCTGACCCTGACCCTGCCTCAGTATCAACTTCTGTAAAGTGGGCTCATAATACCTAATCTGAAGGATTTTTATAGGGTTAGAGGTAATGTACACAAAGCACAGGCAAGCACTTACAAAACGAAGAGGGGACTCTTACCCTACTGACAGCAAAGGCTGGTTATGACAATCACAGAAAACAATGTATGAGAAAGCGGAAGTTGGTGAGGCCTTCCACAAATGCTAAGCCCTCATCATTTCTTTCCTAATCACTGCTCCAGCCTTCTACCAGTTCTTCCTGCCTCTTGGCCTCTTAAGTCCGTCCTTCACTCAGGCTTCAGAGTGAGCTGCCTAAAGCAGATACGATCCTGTCAATCTCCCGCTAAAGTTTTCAGTGTCTCCCCGCCCCTTACGAGGTCTTCTTATGATCTGACCCCTGCCTCTCTCTTCAGTCTCACCTCTTATCTTTCGGGCCCTCATATCTTGACACTTACCTCTATGGTTTTGCTAAGGCTTGTCCCTCTTCCTCCAGCAATCTTTCCCTACTCCTGGCTAAAAGTCAGTCATCCTTTATTGCTAATTTCAGGCACTAACTTTTCCAGAAGGCCTTACCCAACCAACTCCACCAAAATGGAATAGGAACCCACAGCATCAGGAGCAGAAATCTATCACCATAACAAACAAACGTTGTATTATGATTATCTGTGCATTGATTTCCTCAACTAGATCAGCTTCGTAAAGTCAGGGATTCAATTATTCTCCTTTGTATTTCCAATCTTAGCACCATGCTAGGATGTTTATTGAACAAATATCTGATATAAATAGGGTGGGTTTTTTATTATTGGAAAGTTAGGATAGTTCACATATGATTAGCTCTCTCGAGTTAATCAGAACAACAGCTTCTATAGTCTCATATTACATGACTATATTAGAATAATTAGTATCATTATATAATGAAGAATTTTTTAAAAAATTGGCACCACAAAGATGGAAGCTAAAGGGGAAATATTTTGAGGTACTTTCTCTATCCCTTTCTCCCTCCAAAATAAGTGGTGTGTGTTTAAATTGAGCTCCTGGGGTCTTCATGGTTCTTGCGAGAGATGCTCTGGCTTCCTCATTGTCTGAGAAATATCCTGGCCCCTATTCATATGGTCCTGCTGACGCAGCCCCCAGCACGAGATCATCCCTGCAGCTATTTTTCACTAGGAGTGGGCTAAAGCAAGGAGTCCAGTCTTGCACTTAGTAGGTGCTTGATAAATATCTGCCCAAGAAATGAGTAAATTACGAGCTGCTTGTTTGCACTAGCTCTTGTAAACTCCAGTCTGTGGCTAGAAGTCAATTTGTTAGTCTACCTCCTTCAGAAGCAAGAACTGAGCCAGCTGTGCCGTTTTTTGAAGTAATAAGGCCATCGGAAGGTTGTAAAAGCAATGTGCCAACTGTTTAGATTAACCTAAAGTGCATATATTTACAGTTGATGTGGGAAACACTTAATCAGCTTATTTTTAGTTAGCCCATGAATTGGTATTTCAGTTTCTTTATGTGGGTGTTAGTGTCTTTCCACATGAATCTCTTGAGGCTACGGGCTTACTGGTGCTTGCTGTCTACTGTGCAAAGTTATCTTTAACACAGCTTTAAACGGCTCCTTTTAAGGTTCAAATGGTGCCTTCCAGTTCTTGTGGATGTTGGTGACTATTAATGACTTACTAGATTTTGGTTTTATCTTTTGGGTTTATCGCCACTCACCAAGGACCTCACGATGGGAATCACTGATGTATACTAGCTAAGACAATTTTCTGTTCTTCCTTTGAATCTTCTAAAGATTTGTATCCTTTTACTCACAAATACACAAAGCTTTTAAATGAATATTAATATTAGATGGAAAATACAATTAGTTTCTGAATAGAACATATTATACATAAGGAGTAATTCATAATTTCATATTTTGATAGAGAACTGACACTTCTGGAGGAAAGTACCCAGAGACAGGGTTAAGGACCATTAAGAATTTCTGCTTAGGGGCCGGCCCCGTGTCTGAGTGCTTAAGTTCTCACGCTCCACTTGGGAGGCCCGAGGTTTCACCGGTTGGGATCCTGGCTGCAGACATGGCACTGCTCTTCAAGCCATGCTGAGGCAGCATACCACATGCCACATGCCACAACTAGAAGGACCCACAACTAAAAATACACAACTATGTACCGGGGGGCTTTGGGGAGAAAAAGGAAAAAATAAAATCTTAAGAAAAAAAGAATTTCGGCTTAACAAAGATTTAGAATCCTAACAATTCTTAGACTGAGTTCTTTCCTTGGGTATAGGGCAGGTGACAACAGTTTGAAAAAAATTTCTTATTTTTGATTGTTATCTCAAATCAAGAGGTGTGTCTAGCAAAAAAAGAATCCGCGTTCATTGATAGCATTTTCCATTTGAAAGGAGCAACAGAGACAATTTAATTGTCCAACCTTCTCTTCTTAGATGCAGAAATGTTCTAGAAGCAAGCTTGCGTGATTTCCCATCATCTGCCTTTTACTATCAGCTAATTTATTAAGTAGGATCATGCTGCTGAAGAATATATCTTCTAGCTAGTTTTGCCAGTTTTAATTTCTATTACTAAGCAGTAAACTAAACTGCTTGGATTTCACAAGTAAAATCAATGAATTGATATTTATTGGAATAGACATAATATTGGGTGAAAGTTTAAAGGAAAACATACCTTTCAAAATATCATTGATTTTACACTGGGGATAGGGACCAGAGGATTCAAGTGCTTCTCTGAGTCTTTAGAAGTGGGCAAAGGTGGAGTCACCCTAGAATTGTAGCTGGGGCTTTCAGGTCGGCATTATTGGAGGTTGGCATTATTACCAAGGGGAGAAATAGGGTAAGAGAAAGTGAGCCCGAATGGCTGGAGCCATGCAGTGTGACCCAGAAACAGGCTGGGGAGCACAGACACCGACAGTCTTAAGCTATCCCAGGCGCCCTATATTCCAGTGCTTTATATCTGCCCAACTTTACTTTTTGAAAAGCTTTGTGGGATCCCCAAACTAGAGTCAGCTGTACTGTAAGGCGCTCCGGGCTGTGGCAGCAGCGACTGTTGGGAAGCAGGGTCCTGGAGAGTAGTGCTGGTATGCTGCGTTTTGGGGTCTATTAGAACTTGAGGGCACCCATTGGCTTAGATCACAGGATACTCACCTCCTGATAGGGTGGCGGAGACGCGGCACGTGACAGACGCCGCTCACTAAGTACCCGAAACAGCGGGGGCGCGAGACCCCCCCCCCCCCCCCCCCCGCTATGAAAGAGACCCCTACGGTCATCTAATTTTTCCTGAGTTCCCACACATGCACACATCGCAAGAAACCCAGCCCACACCCATCCAAGTTCTCACACATTCTAACCCCACCCCAGAGTTTGCGTCCATACACAAGACACAGGGATGAACCAAGGGCTTGAAATTACCCCCCACAAACTCCCCCAGTCAGGCTTCCAAAGCCCAGCAGTCTGGAGGGACAGGGAGAAAGGGACGCAGACAAAAGAGTTTTGAAATAGATGCCTCCGAGCACAGCTGGTTGCTCCATCTCTAAATTTTGGCAGCTTAAGACTTCTGTTTGCACAACTAAGAAAAGACTTCACTCCCCACAAAGGGATGTCCGGAAGAGCCCCCTTACCTCGCACAGCGCCAGGTGGAGAGGACTCCGAGGCTCGGGAGGGCGCGCCGCGAGCCGGGGCGGCGGCCCGCAGGAGGCACCGGGCGGGGACAGCGGCGGCGGCTGCAGCCCCGCCCCCAGCCGCCCCGCAAACCCGGGGCTCGGCTCAGCAGCCGCAGCTCGGTCACCTCCCGGCGTGCGGACTCAGACCCGCTGCATTGTGGGAAGTCAGCCCGAAGCCGAGCCGAGGCTGACCCCTGGTGGGCGCGGATCCAGAGCGAGCCCTGAGCCCCGCGGTGGGGGCGCGGCGGGACCCGCCCGAGGGGCAGCCCGGCCCGGCCCGCCGCTTGGGGCCAGCCCCGCGAGCTAGCGTGCGCTGCATATCGCTCACATCTCAGGAAAGTATAAAAATAAGCAGATGCCTTCAAAGTGCCTGGGGCTACCTGCCTAGCCGTGACATAAGTGAAAAACTAAAGCAACGTTAAGACTAGGGAAAGCTTTTCAAACTAGGGGAAATAATTTTAAAATTATAAAACTAAATGACGTCAAGATGATGGAGAAGCCTGCACACTCAGTTTTTATTTCTGGTGAAACCACAGATGGGCTCAATCTGTCTGGAGAATACTGGAATGGAGTAATATGTCACAGGAACCAGGAAACTGTGTCACCCAGGAGTTTCTGTTCTGGGTATATACCTCAAGGAAGTATTCAAATGTAGTAAAAAAAAAAAAAAGTAAATTATACAAAAATATGCATAGTGAAAAATTAGAAAATAACAAATGGTGAATAATACGTGAGAGGCACAAAATAATATGTGGCTATTTAAATAAGCATAGGAACGTTATCACTATGTAGAAATATTTTTATCAGATAATGTTAAATGAAAAACGTAGAACACAAGAAAGCACACGGCCAGTCATCCCAACTATTTGAAAATACGTGTGTTGACAAATGCAAAAAGAAACTTCAGAGCCATGAAAATAGAGTTTAATGTGTCTTACGGTGTTTTATTTGTCTTAAGTAACTTTTAAATATTTCTAAGTTATTGGGACTATAGTAGTTCTAAATTTAGATAGCACTGCAGTATTTCGGTTCCCCTCCCCCCACTCTAAGTAATAAAAAAAGTTACCTAAAACGAAAGATTCTGAGGCTTTAGTAAACCATGACAGTTTTGCTTGTCTGCAAATCCTGGTGAATTTACAAGAAAAGTAAATTCATGGTCGAGTGTACTGTCTGCTAAAACCTGTAACAAAGGACTACAGACTGGGGCCTTAAACAACAGAAATGCATTGTCTCACAGTTCTGGAGGCTGGCAGTCTGAGACGGAGGTGCAGGCAGGGTTGCTGCCGTCCCAGAACTGAGGGAAGGACCTGCTCCAGGGGGTCTCTGGGTTTGTAGATGGCCATCTTCACGTTCTCGTGGCGTTCTCCCTGCAATGCTGCCTGTGTCCACATTTCCTGCTTTTATAAGGACGCCAGTCATATTGGATTAGGGGCCACCTACTCCAGTATGACCCCATCTTAACTTCTACATCTGCAATGGCCCTATTTCCAAATGAGGTCACATTCTGAGGTACTGGGGGTTAGGACTTCAACTATGAATTTTGTGGGGAGACGCAATTCAACCCACGACAGGGAGAAGGAGCTTGAGGTTCAGAGTGTAATCGTAAGAAAATTACATCCACCTAATGACAAAAACAAAAGCAACAATGTATGCAATCTCAAATGTATCAAAGCCCTAACACCATAACACAGTAAAACCAAGTTGGTTACATCTTTCTCCTTTCTGCCCTTCAACACCTTTCAGCCCTTCCAGTTGAAACTAGGAGTGTCAGTGAGACACCATTCATTGAGAATCGTAGAGAGTGTGACTGATGTGTCCGGCTCCCACAGGAGGTGCTTGGAGAAGACTGTCCAAATGCCTGGGAGGGGGGCGGCATCGCTTGCATTCGAACCTCAGGACCATGGGCAGAGGACGCGGGTTGAGAATTACAGGAAGCTGGATCCCCATCGTGGAAGGGCACACACGCTCCCTCCTGCTGAAGAGCTCTGCTTTAGTTCAAGAGGCCAATAGAGCCATCTCAGCCTGGGGAGGGTACCCTACAAGGTGGAACCCAGTCTTCCTGAACTGAGCCAGCCTCTCCCAATTAGCCCTACCACATGGGTGGGATGCGAAGCTTTAGATTTTCAGGAGCCCTGCCTCCTGCCTTCTGAGGTGATGGGACCCAGATCCCTGAAAGAAATGAAGCCCTGCCTAACACTTCCAGATCAGTTTTTTTCTTTTTCTTCTGAAAGAACCAGAAGCCCAGTCAGTGGTGTACTGACGAAAAGGACAACTGGCTCTCCAGAAAGAAAAGCTCTGATTTGTGATGTTTGCAGATTTCTGTGCTGTAAATACTCCCACCACGGCTTATTTCAAGCTACCAACATGAGGTCCGTGAACACAGAGGTGGGGCCCCAGCACACCCTGTAATCGGCTTAACAGAGTCTCAGAGTCGGGAGGCTGCCAGTGGGGAGCCGGATCCGAGAGCATCCCAGTGAGCAGCCGACGGGGGGGCATCCCTTTTGGGTTAGGAGCACAGTCTCCAACTGGGCCGCAGTGCTGGTGGGGAGCCATGGGCAGTGGGGTGGCCCAGTGAGAAGCAGGGTCTACACACAGCCTCCAGAGCAGTGGGGCTGGGGAATGGACAGGGAGACCAAAGACAGCAGGAGGAAGTGCATTCTTTCAGAGCTGAGAGAGGCTCACCCCGTCTGGGTAAGAGAAGTAGGACAGGCAGCTTCAGAGTACAAGTGAGCAATTAGAATCTTCTCAGACTGAGGGCTTAGTGGTTAAGTTGGCATGCTCTGCTTCGGTGGTCCAGGTTTGTTTCCTGGGTGCAGACCTATACCACTTGTCTGTCAGTGGTCATGTTGTGGCAGCGGCTCACATACAAAAAGAGGAAGATTGGCAGTGGACATTAGCTTAGGGCAAATCTTCCTCAGCAAATAAAAAAAAAAAAGGAATTTTCTCAGACTGAAGGGAAACACCCATCTTTTGTTTCCCTTATTAGGGCATTCTCCCTGAGAGGACCTTGCCAGGAAGAGAGACATTAGGTTAGAGTGTCCAGGGCTCACTCAGGTGATTCTCATCACTGAGCTAAATGCCACCTGGGCTTTCTCCCAGTTTCAGGACTTGGTATCAGCCCCCTGGAGGACACACCTGTTAGAGCAGGTAAAGCTTGTGTGAAGGCAGGAAACAAAACCAAGAGAACCGGGTGGGTCTCCTGTCACTTAAACTGGATCTTAGGGGCCCTGTATATGCTGCTGGTTGGTGGTGTCCCTGGGCTACGGCTTATTATTTCTTGCCTAGCCTAACCCAGCAGTGTTATAACTCGTCCCTCTGCTTGCAATATTGTTCTTGTGCGATACCTCCCCACACTTGCTGGAGTGAGTTTCCTCATGGGCAAACCAGATCATACATAGGTTCCTTCCTGCTTGAAAATTCTTCCCTGGGTTGAGTCGAGTTCCCTCTCTTTTGCACGGGACATGAGGCTTTTCCTGATCAGACGTCTGCTCATCTCTCCAGCCTTATCTGCTGCCCCGCTCCTGGTGACTTCTCTTTGGCTAGGTTGCCATTCCCAAACAAGCTGGGTTGGCCTGATTCTAGGCCTTCATACGTGTTTTTCCTCTTAGTTTTCGCTCTGTGCCTAGTTCCATGGGTCTATTTCCATGCCAGGCATCTTGAAGCACGTCTGTAGTTTTATTATGAAACCCACGAGGTTTTTTTTCTTTTTACTTTTTATTGTGGCAAAATATATATAAAATAAAACTTGCCATTTGAAATTTTTTTTTTTTTTTGAGGAAGATCAGCCCTGAGCTAACATCTGCCAATCCTCCTCTTTTTGTTGAGGAAGACTAGCCCTGAGCTCACATCCATGCCCATGTTCCTCTACTTTATATGTGGGATGCCTGCTACAGCATGGCTTGATGAGTGGTGCCATGTCCACACCCTGGATCCTAACCATTGAACCCCGGGACCCCGAGGCAGAGCATGCACACTTAACTGCTGTGCCACCGGGCCGGCCCCGATTTTAACCATTTTTAAGTGTAGAATTTAGTGGCATTAATTACATTCATAATGTTGTGCAACCATCACCACTATTTCCGTAATTTTTCATCACCCTCAACAGAAACCGTACCTATTAAGCAATAAGTCCCCACTCCCCCTTCACCCAACCCCTACTAATATCTAATCTACTTTCTGTCTCTGTGAATTTGCCTATTCTAGATATTTTATATAAATGAAATCATACAACATTTATCCTTTTGTGTCTGGCTTCTCCCACTTGGCGTAATATTTTCAAGGTTCATCCACGTTGTAGCAGGTGTCAGAATAGCATTCCTTTTCATGGCCGAATAATAGTCCGTTGTATGGATATACCACATTTGTTTATCCATTCATCTGTTGATAGACACTTGGGTTGTTTCCACCTTTGGGCTATTGTGAATAATTCTGTTCTACACGCTGGCGTATACTTCACGTGTTTTCCCCTCCACATGGTAAGATCTTATTTCTATTATAGACCCGGCTAACTTCTACTTATCTTACAGAACCCTTTATAAATGGAAAATGGTGGAATAGGTGCCCAAACCCAGACCTCCTGACTGTGTCCAGGGACGTTTCCATTTTGCCCCACTGAATTACAGGCTTTCCTGGATGGGCTGTCATAATGAAAGTGGGACAACTGAAGGCAGCAGAGCCTGAAGAGTTTACTCTGGAGGCCCCAGCAATCCTGGAGTTGGAGATAGGGCCTGGCCCAAGGGTGGTAAAAATGGGTCCTCATTTGATACTCAAAAATGTCCACATGTAGCCAGTCTCAGAAAGTAATAATGTGTGTAGATTGCTGTGGGGCGTGTGTATATGAATTGGTTGATGGGAGAAGAGTGGAAAAGAATGAGAGGTAAATAGGTAGAAGAGAGATTAGAGTATGTGATCATGTGAATACCCAGCAGAATTTTAGTCAAGCTACCAAATCACTACAATAATAATAAATTTGGTCCAATAAAGACAAAGTGGAACAGTGGCATGCTAGTATGCAACTTTATTCATATGCTGTTACATGAACATAAGTAATATAGCATAATGAATACAAACAAGGATATTCAATTGAGCATTTATTAAATGCCATGATCTAGCCTGAAT